AACCTAAGGCTTGCCGATATGTCCTTGTGCTAGAAGTATAATATAAAGGTCTGTGGTCTAGGAAGGCTGACACTTATGTCTCATATAATCGAAAAAACGGCGTCCAGTTGGCTTGGAAATGACGATCCTTGACATTCCCTATATAATTTTACATATAAAAGACACCGATCTTCATTTCATAGCCATCACTGACGCCGTTTTTTTTTCGATCATATTGTACCTACCACATGGTACATACCTACCTATCTCATATATCATATGCCTTATGGTTTTAAAGATGATAAATTGTCTTTTGTATTATGCGTATAGCTGTAATTCAAAAGAAATACATTTCGTAAAATACCACAATGTTATAGTGAATAGATTCATAATAAAATACTTACTAGTTTGCTTTTCCAGTTTAACGGTACTTATTTATCAGTTTTTAATCAGTTTTCCTTTGAGTTTCAGATTTCTTAACCTTAAAATTTTCACTCTTTTAAACCATCTCATTTTTGCTCATATTTTTATAATTACTTATTATGCCTAATACATGCCCGTGCTGTTTCCTGAAGAATGAATTTTTGTAAGCTACGATCTTGCAATTAAAACAATATCACATACCTGGAACCTGAAAGGACATCATGTGGGAAAAATAATTAAGAACATTTTTTCCGCAAATCACGGCTAATTTATTTTCAGGAATTTGTGGATAGCTTAATATTTTCTAAAAATTGTTAATCGTTTTACAGCTTTTGTTTGAATACATATTATCTAGATACACACCTGAGATTTCAACCCATGTAGACGTATTCTTATATAAAAAACACATTATCAAAGGTAATCGTGTTGCTATCACTTTCATTTTGTTTATGCTTTATTTGTAAATATTTCCGGATTATTTTATATCAGGTTCTATTACATTATTCATAACATTATTCGTCAATGTTCATAAAAATTATAATTTTAAACTTTTTCTGAGGTTAATCTTGTCAAATTCCAAAACAAAACAAGATTGAAAAGTATGCGACGTTGACAGATTTAGTACGTTAGCCAGGACAAAATTCCTGAAACAGGAATTTTTAGGACTACCGAACATGCCCGAAGTGACGTTCGGTTGGTAGGACAAATACCCCGTAGGACGAATACCGCCACCTCTAAACCGGGGCTACTTCGGACAGCACGGGTAAATTTGGACAACGGCTCCTTGAAAGAGAAAAAAATTGAGGAGGATAGCGAAATCATCAAAGCGGCCGCGTGTGGACTGGGAACGTGTTTAAAACAGTTGTCCTGAGACGTTTCTTAAGTACCAAGTGTTTTACGGGCCCGGCGTATTTTTTACGTCAATTTTTGTAAGTATGCAATTTTTGTTGTTTTTTTAAAGTGGAAAAAGTAACTGGCGTACAACTAAACCTATTATTCATAAAGTCGTACTTTTTCCAGTATTTAGTAGGTATATTATCTGAAAATGTTTTATGTAATTTGAAGATTTTTAATCATTCAATTTTTTTTCCAGACGGTCGTAAGCAAAAAAATCATATTTTGAAGGCTAACTTCGGACATGGTTCGAAGTTACAAAAAGCAACTGGGGAGTCGCCCCCATAAAATAATTAACTAGAAAGAAGTGTCAACTCTGTGTTAAATCGTGGAAACACGATACGCCACCGAAAGCCTTCGTTGTCGTCTGGAGAACTAATTTTCCAATTGACAGGTTGACATGATGGCTTCATTTTTATTTCCGTTTCCGGTTATTCAATGGCGGGCCCTCTTTCAGTTTAAACGTATTTTGTACTCTTTCTTATCATAAATAAAACAAAACAAAATTTTATTCAAACATATTTATTTGAAATATGAGACAACGGGACTAAATAAATATAAAAAATAAAGAATTGAATGATTCCTACAGCAATTACTTAATTATATGCAATTTTAACGTAAATTAGTAAGGTATAAGCATGACTTACAGTAATTTGTAAATAAATACGATTATTCACAGCCATCAAGGATAGAAAACGGGGGCAGACATGAAAACGGGAGCCTTATACAAAAATCTGAAAACAGAAAAACAAATTTTTTTATACTAAAATTAACAATGTAAAAATATCAAGGTATAAAATATAAATATACTGTTTAAAAAAAGCGTCCATTATTCCCAAAGAGACCTGGTTTGTAAATCAAAAAGAAGCAAAAAGAGACTTTTAGTCGGATAACAGTCAGATTGTATCGGTCAGATTTACTGCATTATTGACAATAAATCGCACATACTGGAGACAACTAATGTTGGCTATAGTTAAAAATGATCTTACCTTGCTGTAAATTGTTTCCATTTTCAAAAAAATCGCCGATCATAAACATAACAAAATTTTCTTGCATCTAAAAAATACAGAAATAGTGTTTATTTACTACCTATTTTTATATAATATGCATGGGACATACCTAGTACTGCAGAAACGTCTTTTTCTCCAGGATTGTTCATGTAATAATATATTTTATATGCTTTACTACCTTTATATTTATAAATTTCTGCCGAAATATCAAATTGAATTTACAAAACAAAACTAACCGGAGAGAATTAAAATGGCGTCGAAATTTGTTCTAGAACAAATCTGAAGTTGTCTCTGAAATCTGTCAATTCTAAACTGTGAAGTTAGACAATAGTTAGACAGAAACATTGCTGTCCTTGTCTAGGCGGCCATACTTGTCGTCAGGAGATGACAGGATTGACACTAATGACTGTTTCCAATTTTCCTATTTCACTGTCACCCCCCTGGTCGCCCCTACCATGGTACAAAGAATACAAGGTATGATATTGCGCAGGTTGGTCGCTACGTCACAGGTGATAACAGGCGCTATTGGTCAGCACGCTCCGCGCGCCAGTTCAAATCGTCAAGGTATTGTTATAAACCTGTTTTTTTGTTTATATACCGTCATTGAATTATCGCTAAGCAAGTTACTGTGGAGCAGTGCGTAAGGAGTTGGACTAGGAAGCGAGAGACCGGAGTTCGAATCTCGGCGGGACATAACTTTTTTTAAATACTGTTGTATTCGATAGTTTATTTTGTAGTATAAAAGAAAGAACTATTTCTTCTGTTATTTTTAATCTGCGGTATTAATATAAATTGATTGTTGGTACAATACCTCATTTAATATAAAATAATATTCTACTTTTTGAAATGTATCTGGCCCTAATTGTACCTAAAAGTAATATATTTTACAGTGATATACCATATTGTAAACTATTTAATATTTCAGTCACTTAAAAAGTTAATTTGCCTTGAATAATTGCCTACGATCAAAGGAAATTTGAGCTATATAATCCTTGATGGGCATATTCTGGGTATGCAAATACTTCCTCTAAATTTTGGGTTTTACGTTCAACCGATTTATTCTCAAAACCTGAAACATCTACATATAAAAAGAAACACAGGTTACTTATTATAATAAACTTCACCCTTGGAATTGCTTCTATCACAATTACAATACATTCATCTGCATTGGCATTTTCTACTTTTTCTCGATGGGAAACAATATAATTCCCAACATTTTTTTAAATGATGTAACAATTCCTCTTATGGTTACTTTTCCATAGATATCCTCATCTCTGTCCTCATGTGAGAATTCAGAGGCAATGAACATAAAAATTATTTACCATAAACATCGCAAACTAAAAAACCTAATAAACAATTTTATACCGAATATAGAAATAAATTTAGTATTCTTACCTATTATGGTCCAAATCCATGTTAATAGATAATTATTATTTTTAAATATATTTTTTTGAAACTGCTGGTTTTAGTAATTATTAAATTAAACGAACTAAAAAAAGTCTTAAAAATAAACAATTCGTAACCATAACCCCAAAAAATGCAGATCTCCTGTCAACTTTCTTTATTTTTTATTTATTCATTATTTTCCTAGTGACGTCACAGGTGGTATGCGCGAACTGAACGAAATTGGAGCCGCTATCGATCATACCTTGTATTCTTTGTACCATGGCCCCTACCAAAATTATTCACCAGAGAGGTTACAGCAAGCAGTAGCAGATGTCAAAAGCAAGCGAAAAACCTTAAGAGAGGCGGCCGAGTATTATAGGATTCCCAAATCCACAATTGGGGATAATATTAAGGGGATTCATGGTAAGAATCCAGGACGGCAACCAGTGCTGAGTATCGAGGAAGAGGCAAAGTTTTTGACTGATATTTTTAGAAATAATCAATCTTTTTTAATAAAAATGTCTTAAATAATGTTTGAAGTTATTAATTTTTTGAGTTTTTTTATTAAAAAATGAACTTGATTTTTATTTAAAACTTATATTTTTGTCCGAAGTTTCCTTTTAACTGGTATAACATCAAATTTACACATTTTTAAAGGCATGTACACTTTTCAAACAAAAAAATATATACGTTAGAAAAAGAAAGTTAAACATTTTTTTTAGTTAGACATAGGGGAAGGATGCAGTAACCCACACAAATAATATTGGTTGAATTTGAACACACTTAGGTCAAGAAACTTACAAAAAACCTCAAAAACTGTCCGAAGTAGCCCCGTTTTCCGGTATACGTCTTGGTGCAATTTCCTGGCCACGACACTTTAGCCAGGGACAAGACAATGAGATGCTCCTTAGTGCAAGAGGGGATTCCCCCTAGCACCTGACCAGGAGCTTCCCCACCAACAATAAGGTCTTGCATATCATATAGAAAGAAATCTAATTGAAAGTACAATGCGTGTCTGAACAAAAATTATATAATGAAGCGTGCTTTGCAATCTTTGTATGATTGTAGATAAAGAGCTTGTCATAGAAGGCAAATATATATATATCGTATGATCGAATAAAAACGGCGTCAGCGATACCTATAATATGAAATGAAGATCGCTGTCATTTTTATTTTATGTAAATTTATATGGGAAATGTCATCGATCGTCATTTCCCGAACGCAACCAAGCCAAGCCAACTGGACGTCGTTTTTTTCAATCATACCAAAGTAATAATCTTTGATCATACGGTAGCTGAAGATCGCAGTTCGAATTCCGCGTAAACAATGTAGGTACCGTTGAGATTAGTCCTAGTTCGCAATAGAAGAAGAATGTGAAAGTAACCTTTGTTTTTTATGCATAGAATTTAAAGGTCTTAAAATTTTATGAATTTTATTCTTTTCCTATGACCTGCTATGTTTACCTAATACTTAAAAAATGTCTAGTGTTTTAATAAAGATAATAACTTCTACTTTATATGATAATGCAAGACCTGGTTCATTAATTTTTGTTAGGAATGGTCATCATTTACGAGGAAAACCACCAGGTATTGCAAAATCTTTAGAAGAAAAGTTAGCAGGTAATTATTATGTTCCACAAGTTAATTAAATAACTTCTGGTAATCAATTAACCATTTTATTTATCTTTACCGTTTTAAGCAAAGAATTATAAGGATCCGGCTATACATTATAAAGTCGATATTGGTTTACCTCCACCACAAATTAACAAATCTAAACTTTTACAAGAACGCCTTAAAATTTTGCGTTCGCGGAAGAATGATCCCGAACTGGAAAGAGCATCTCGAAAATGCCAGCGTAGGTATAATTATATTCAAGTGATCAACTTTTTATAACTTAAATTGTTTTTAGTCAAAATTGATATTGAAAAGTCATATAACGATTGGCTAGAGACGACAGGGCCATATCATATTAGAAGAATTGCTGAGCATTATGGTATTTTTGAACACCTTTTTGGTGATGCATATTTTAATGCCTGGGTACCGTTAAATATTACATATGGCAACAATGACATTCTTAATCCAGTATATTATGGTAATGTACTAAAACCTGAAGAAACAAAGGATAAACCTTCGGTAAACTTTAAATCAGACGAAACATCATTATGGACTTTACTTCTCACGAATCCAGATGGTCATTTAACTAACAATGAAAAAGAATATATCCATTGGTTTGTGTAAGTGACTTAGTAATATCATATTATGACCCAAAAAAAAACGGCGGCCAGTTGGCTCAGAAATGATGATCTTTGTTTTGTAGTGGTTTTCATTTTATAGCCATCGCTGACGCGGTTTTTTTTATCTAATGGTATATAGGATGACACAGTGTTCCCAAAAACCTGTATGTCTTGTTAGCTTATTTGAGATTTTCACTTCAACCTTTTTGATTAAAATTGGGTGTATAGTAATGCATATTTTAAAATAATTTTTATAGTTACATAGTGTGATTCAAATTTATTTTTAGTTTTTTAAATGGAATATTTTTGGCTTAGTGTAATAAAGTTAAGCTTAAGATGTCAAGGTCGAACAGTATACTGGGCTATTTCATATTTCCTTACCTAACTTTACCTTGTCTTGGGTTATTTTCATTAGATGAGGAAATACGCAATAATCCTAGGGTTCCCAACTTGAGCATCGGCGATTCTGGGACAATTATTTTTAAGTTTTTAAATAACTGAAACAAAACATTAAATATTAGAAATTCAAATATATTATATGTAAATGTGATTTTTTGGGTCCCGGCCAAGGCAAAATTTTCGCCGGGACAAACTTTCTGATTCCTGGTTAATCCCGGTCAAACCGGGACGATTGGGAACCCTAGATAATCCCCTTGACTATTTGACATACTTTGTTCTATTTCACGAATAGTGTAGAGCGCGTTTTACAATGTTCAATGTTGATTTATTCAGCAAAATAAAACACTAAATCACCACAATACACCAAAACACTTTTACTTTTACACTGGACGCGCGTTTTGCTAACCATGTTAGCATCATCAGCAGATTATTATAAACTAAAATACAATCTACATTTGGAGCGTTTATATACTCGCTGAGTGGGCACCCAACCGAGTCAGAACCCACCGAGCGTAAAAGTTAGATTTCCGCCACTAGAGTAGTAGGAACAAAGAACTTGAAGGAATTGGACCGTTGTCTCTGTTCATACTATCTTTACATTTATTAATTCTGATGCTTTCATATGCATCTAATTGCCTGTAATTTGATACTTGTTTCAGTAATTTTAAGTTATTAAGATCTATACAATGTTCTTTATCAACAATATGTTCGGCAACGCAAGATTTATCCGGTCTACCATATCCTATCTGAGCTAAATGTTCTTTAAATCTAGTTAATATTGATCTTCTAGTTTGCCCAACATATTTCTGATTACAATCTTTACAAGAAATTTCATAATTACCCGACCTTTCCAGTAGAGGTGTTTTATCCTTTGGATTACCTAATAATTGTTGTAATTTATTATTAGCACTATACACAAGTTTATAATTGACATTCTTAAAAAATCCTTTTAGACCACGGGATAACTGTCTATCAAACGGTATTGAAAAATATTTTGACGTATCTTTCTCCACTTGAAAAGTCGAATTTTCAGAAATCATTAACCTATACCTACGTTTTTTAATTATTTTATCAACTAGTGAAGGAGAATATCCATTACACTCAGCTACATTCCTAATGTAATCTAAGAAATTTAAACTAGCCATTTTATGTTCAATACTATGATATGATTCATTAGGAATATATCTGCGTGTAGTGGTATTTTTCCTATAGATATCAAATTCCAGGCAATTATTAGTATTTCTAATAACTAATACATCTAGAAATGGTAATCTGTCGTTGTTCTCAATTTCATGTGTAAATTTAATGGAAGGAAAACGATTATTTAACTTAGAAATAAAATTATCTATGGTGTCTGAATGTGTGTCAAAAACAGCAAAAATATCATCCACATACCTAAACCATACTCTTGGAAAATACTCAAACTGATTCTTAGCCTCCACTTCAAACCTGCTCATGAATAAATTAGCCCATTGTCTCCATTTTTGGCATATGAAAGCATCAGAATTAATAAATGTAAACATAGTATGAACAGAGACAACGGTCCAATTCCTTCAAGTTCTTTGTTCCTACTACTCTAGTGGCGAAAATCTGTTACGCTCGGTGGGTTCTGACTCGGCTGGCTAGATCTTGCCACGCCCACTCTGTGCCCACCGAGCGAGTATATAAACGCTCCAATTGTAGATTGTATTTTAGTTTACAATCATTTGCTGATGATGCTAACATGGTTAGCGAAACGCGCGTCCAGTGTAAAAGTAAAAGTGTTTTGGTGTATTGTGGTGATTTAGTGTTTTATTTTGCTGTGTAACACCAAAGGTTCCAACCCTCAACTGTAATCTTGATTTATTCACTTCATAAATTAATAATAATTGTTTATTGTGCTTATGCAGCTGAAATTGATTGTTGTAAAACAATATTACAAATACAGATTTGGATATCAAAAATATGTATCAAAACTGAGTTAGATAAAATTCGTTTATTTATAAAAACTAGGGTATTCCATTTGAAATAGGAGTGGAGAAATTTACTTTTCAATCTACTTTTGACTATCACTCTATACGGGATACGTCTCAAAAGTGGCTCACCTTCTTCTTTTCAGATAAAAAAATGAAACTTGGTATGTTAGTATACAACATACATTAGGATTTATTGACGTATTTAATTTTTTTTGGTCACTTCCTGTTTCACTATAAATAACAACAAATTTTGATTTTTAAGTGGCACCCTCGGTATTTTTTTACTTTATATTAATAAAACACGCTTTTAGATGTATCAAAAAAATTTTAATAAGAGTAACTTTAACTCTACATATATGTTTCGGCTTGTTAGGCCTTTTCCAAGAGTTTTTAAGAACTAATCATCTAACTACACTGTAACTATATAGATATTTGCTATGGGGTTGGGTTCAGAGAGCTTACAATAGGGCTAATACAAAATGTGTTTAGAAATCCTTGTTGGTCGTTAACATTATTATCGTTTTTAACAGATTTTAGTATTTCTAACTGTTCAATGTAATTTAAGAGTCTACCTTTTGTTTCTCTGTGTAGTAACTTAATTGAGTTTTCATTAATTTGGGATTATTTACTATACAATGAGTTGCAAGACCAGAACTATGCTGGAGATTATTAATAGACTTCACATGTTCTTTAATCCTTATATCTAAATTTCTACCTGTTTGGCCTATGTACACGGCATCACAATCATTGCAATCCACCCTATATACACCCGACTTATTTTTGACATTAGTTTTGTCTTTATTATTTAATAAAATTTGACCTAAATTTCTTTTATTTACGTTAATAGTTTTACATCCTATCTTATTGAGATTATTTGATATTTTGTTAGTTAAATTAGGAGAATGTAGTTTAAAAGTCGATAATTGCTATTGTCTTTAGAATTAGCGGAATAAAAATGTTTCATTAATATTTTCTTTTGTTTTTTCTTTAGCATATTATCAATAAGGGAACACTTATATCCATTGTTGATGGCGATTTGATTAATAATATTTAACTCTTTTTTAAAATTCTCTGGGCTCAGTGGAAACATTACTAATCTATGAATTAAACTATGAAAGGGTGACATTTTGATTTGCCAGGATTGGTGTGATTGACTATGTATTACCGTGTCTGTGGTAGTAGGTTTTCTGTAAATATCAATTCTGTAATCTATTACACTGTTTTATAATTGTAATGTCAAGAAAATTGATGGTATTATTATACCTTTTTCAATAGTAAATTGTATTCTCGGGTTAATTGAATTTAATTTAATAATGTTAATATTTTTAAGTTTAATATTTAAACGATGTTTCACAAGGAACCAACCACAGCTTCAGTACTATTTATTTTTTAACTTTATTTGATAGAAAGTAACATTCTGAATAAAATGACATATCATATGTCAACTTTTGACATTCTTGTTTAATAAAAAACCGTATTTTAAATTTCAATCTGTGATATGGCTATGTTAAAAACACTATTTTTTAACCAAGGAACTTTGGAAAAATAGATTTGATTGTCTAATGTTTTTTGTGTCTTGTCCTGGCCGGTTAAAAGATGCCCAAATCATAATTTTAATCATATCTCAATTTTTTCAAATGGAACGAGGGTGGCTCATTAGCATATTTGGAAAAAGCATTGTTTTATTAATAATTTGATACCACACACTTGGTATTTAGAGTCAAATTGTTATTATGAACCGCATGTTACAACTTCAAATAAACCTTTTTTCTGTAAAGTAGAATTTTTAGAATTTAGAATGAGTGGGAGGGGGGTTAATCACTTCGACCTTACAGATCCATTGTGTCCCCCTTTCTTGAATCATAACTCATCATACAGTCCCAGGGCTTTGACAAAAGCCAGTATCTGGGACGGTTTTATAGAGGGTAGTTCTCCATCTCCAATATCAGTCGTACCAAAATTCATGGCACGAAAAAAATACCGTCGGTGTCATTTAAAAGTCAAACGTTGGAGTCATTTCCGATGAAACAGGAAGCGATCGAAAACATTTGAATACGTCATATGTCAATCATTCCTAATTTATGTAATATACAAAAAACTGACAAAATAAAAAAGTTATAGGGGCGAGCCACTTTTGGACGCACCCGGTATATACTATGTCATTTATCTTATACCGTATGATCGAAAAAAAAACGCCATCCAATGACGATCGATGACATTTCCCATATAAAATGACAGCGATTACATAAAAACGACAACGTTTCATAGCCATCGCTGACGCCGTTTGTTTTTCGATCATACATTAGTATAATCAGTTTTAAAAAGGATACTGTTATAAAATTAATAATAATAATTATGCACTATCTACCAAATTAAATGCTTTTCTGGAACAGAAATGTTATGGCAAATTCACTGAGCAAAAAAATATACAGCAATCTATTTAATCCAAAAAATATTGAAGTAAAATCCGCAATAGAAAACCTGATATGGAGTTTTTTCAAGTCACTAGGTCACCCATTAAATTATCTTTATGAAACTGAACTAATTATATAATTAATTATAGTGGAAATATTCCTTCAAACCAATTGGATAAAGCTGAAACAATAATTGACTATCTTCAACCATTTCCACCCAAAGGCACTGGGTTCCACAGATTTGTTTATATTTTATATAAGCAAAATAAGAAATTAGATTTTTCTGCATTCAAAAAGGAAGGAAAATGTATAGATTTGGACGAAAGAACTTTTAGCACTTATGAATTCTACAGGAGTTTCCAAGATGAAATTACTCCTGCTGGAATCTCATTTTTCCAGTCAGATTGGAGCCCAAATGTCAAGACTTTTTTTAATAAAATATTAAGTAAGTATATGTTATCAGTTGGTATAAGTTGAAGTTATCATAAACATTCGATGTAGTGATGGGTTGTTATTTCACTATCTGTTATTTTATAACAATTCTTTAGAAATAACATAACGCAACCGTTACTACTTCTAAAAAATAATAGATATAAAATAACGACACGTAGAGATCGACGGTTTGTGAAGTCGGAGCTCTGCACCGTCACGAAATTCGATGCTGCTCGAAGCAATTCCAAAAAACAGCTAGTATGGATAGTAAACATGTTATTTCGACAACCATCGATACAGGCGGCGAGATACAACGGACAACGGAGTGGGGAATGCGCTACGTGGCGCGGCGAACCTAACTGCATCGGTCGATGGTCGTGTTGGGCTTGCAACAGCTTAAAAATAATAGGATATAAAAGAAGCAGCTTTTTTGAAACAGCTGCGGGCATAACGCCTGGCGGTCGAGATAACAGGAGTGGGAAAGGAACGCTGCTGCATCGGTCGATTGTCGGTGGAGGCTCGCAACGGGTTGGAGAATAACGTATAGAAAATAAGCAGTCATTTTAGATACGTTGTTTTTTAACCCGTTACGGGCATAAAAGGCGGCGGTCGAGATAATCGGAGTAGGAAAGTAACGCTGCTGCATCGGTCGATTGTCGGTGGAGGTTCGAAACAGGTTGGAGAATAACGCATCAGTGGTTTTAGATACATGGTTTTTCAACCTGTTACGAGCATAACGGGCGGAGGTCGAGATATTATGGCGCTGTATGTTTCAGTACTTAGTTATTAAGTTTCAATATTTCGGTATTTATTTATTCTGAAAAATTTTCAGAATAAATACCTAAGTAGAAATTCATCTTTGCAAATTTAAGTGTAAAATTAATTCGAACTCTAGTGTGTAGTTGGTTTACTTATAAAGAATATACTACACATTTTCTTATATTGCTATTTTTTGACCGCAAATGGTAAAATCATAACAAAGAGCTTCTCGCCCGTCGAGTGAGATGCACCCTGTACACTGCTACGCAATTCAGGTGGATCGAGGGGCAGGGCGTAGGTTGACCGGAATGTACAGGTATAGACGAGTGGCGGCATTTTGCCTTTTTTTATATCGCAATTTGTAAACAGCGCTTATTTGTAAACAACCACCGTTTTTACAGAGGTATTTTAGATAACAATCGATATTTAGAAATGTTTTGACACCCTGGAAATACTACCACCGAGCACGTAAATGTTGCAACTTGCAACTGCGTTAATACGCCTGGCGGTGACCGCCTCATACTCTTTCAGATATTTAGCAGTAAAATAAAGAAACCTGTTATTTTTAAGCTGTTATTTTAAGCTGTTTTTATAAATAACTATAACAGTTTCAACTGTTATCTAAAAATAACAGTTTTGCCCATCACTAATTCGATGTTACTTCTGGTAACTTTTTTGATTTGTCTAATGAAGAAAAATGTTCTTTATTTACTAATTTTAAGTCTCATCAAAAACATAGAGTCAAAAACATAAGTCTCATCAAAAACATAGAATGTAAAAAATACCAAGTCTCGCAACACAATTCTTCCGTTATAAAAAGTTGTGAGATCTCATGTAAAACCAAGTCAGTTTATTTTATTTAGTCTCCCTTTAAGCACCTATTCAACAATTTTGGTATAAATTGTTAGTATCAATATTAGTCATCTTTATTTTTGTAATAATTATAATGACTTGGCAATTGCACAGTACCATAATTTTGTGGTACTAAGGCAAAACCCCATTTTTAACATTTTTTTCCTATTGACATATTGGGTTCTGCCATAGTACCACAGAATTATAAAAGAACTAGCATGTACCAGCGACTTCGTTCGCGTCGAATTAATTATTTGTAATTGTGACGATAAAGCAAAGCAAGAATTTCCATTAACATACAAACTGAATAAAATTTTCTCACATTTATGTCGGCCTAAGAAAAAACAATATGGTGATATTATTATATAACTTGGTAATATTTGAGGGGTAGTTTCATCTCGTTGGAATTTGACTTTCGAAAAATCCGTTTGCCAAAAATAAGCTTTTTACGTCAAGCAGTTTAAGCAGAATCGTGCCCAAGAAAATTTACCCAACTTTTTGGAACACCCTGTATGATTTTTTAAAAAAATTCAAAATATGTGAAAAAACCAAATAAATTATGCTTGTCCAAGCGTTTTTCCGAAAGACTAACCGTTTTTTAAATAATAAATATTGTAATATTTGAGGGGCGTTTTCACCCTCTTGGAATTTGAGATTCGAGAAACCCCTCCTTATCGAACCTCTACACCCCTCAGTCAATCCGTTTGCCAAAAATCAGCTTTAAACGTCAAGCAGTTTAAGCAGAATCGTGATTACTCAATGGTCATATTTTATGAAACACCCTGTACAAATTTATAAAAAATCTTAAAATATGTAAAACAACAAAATAAAATAGACGTGTTTAAGAGTTTTTCCGAAAAACTCACCGGTTTTTAAATAAAAGATATTTTAATATTTGAGGGATAGTTTCACCCCCTTAGAATTCGAGTTTCGAAAAATCCCTTCTTATCGAACCTCTACATCCTAAAGTCAATTTGTTTTCCAAAAATCAACTTTTTACGTCAAGCGCTTTAAGCAGGATCGTGATTAATCAATGACCAGATTTTTCGAAACACCCTGTATACATTTTTAAAAAATCTTAAAATATGTAAAAAAACAAAATAAAATATACGTCTTTAAGCGTTTTTTCGGAAACTTGACCGTTTTTTAAATTAAAAATATTGTAATATTTGAGGGGTGGTTTCACCCTCTTGGAAATGGAATTTCGAAAAATCCCTTCTTATCGAACCTCTACACTCTAGAATCAACCTGTACGCCAAAATTGAACATCTTACGTTGAGCAGTGTGGTTTGAGCAGGATCGCGATTAATCAGTATGTCAGTCACTTAAGGATTTTATACAGTGTGTCAATTTTAAAACTTCCCACCCTTAATATCTTTCTTGCAGAAAAAAATATGAAAAATCAGAAAGATACGTCAAGTTTATTTGTAAGGGGGACACTTTAAATTAATATTTTTAGCCTTTTTCTTTTAACCCCCTAGGAGGGGTAGATGTCACCCTTACAATTTTAAATGGGAATGGGGGTCAAGTGGCACATCGTTTTAAAGGACGTTTAATTCTCTTTTCAGTGATATCCTACTTTGTTGCTTTTTGCCCAGAGGTTTCCGAATAATCGCGTTTGAAACTTTCAGAAACAATTAAACATGCCTGCATTGAGATTATGGTTTTCAGGCTAGTGTTTATAAAAAAATATTGCAATGGATCTCCTTCTGGTACAAATAATTAGAAGATTAGGTGGAAACATGAATGTAGCAATTATATTTTTCTAGGGGAGTCGAAATACTAATAAACAGAAAACATCATAAACATTGTGCGCGTTCAGGGAACACAGCGGCTGACCGACCGCTGGGTATTTTACTCAGCGGCTGACTGTTTTTGCGTGTAAAAAAAGACCGTTTAGGGAAACCGCTTACTCAGCCACTCAGCCGCTGACCGTCCCTGAACGCGCCCATTAACGTGTATTTTCTTAAATTCGAATGAGTGGCAACCTCTAATCAGTTATACAGGAGGATTTGTTAACATTTCAGCAGGACGGTGGCTCCACCTCATTATTTTCTTCCGATCCGACAGTGGTTAAACGAAATATTTCCGGGTACATGGACTGGCAGAAGGGGACCAATTGAATGGCTTCCAAGATCACCGGATTTAACACCCTTAGACTTTTTTCTTTGGGGACATCTTAAATCCATTGTTTATAGAGCACAACCTACTGATATTGATGATCTTAAAAGGCAAATTACAGCAGAATGCCGGTCAATTCTCGGTGAAGTTTTCCGAAATGTTAGGGAGGAGTTTGAAAACACACTTTATTATTGTTAACAGGAAAATGAACAACATTCTGGTCGACTTATAAGATAGGGCGTAAGTGGTGTAATGTGATCTTCTAATCTTTTGTACTATAAGGAGATCCATTGCAATAATTTTTGTGTAAACACTAGACTGAAAACCAAAATCTCAATGCAGGCATGTTTAATTGTTTCTGTAACTTTGAAACGTGATTATTCGGAAACCAGTCGACAAAAAGCAACAAAGTAGGATACCACTGAAAAGATAATTAAACGCCCTTTAAAACTATGTGCCACCTGACCCCCATTCCCATTTAAGATTGTAAGGGTGACATCTCCCCTTTCTAGGAGGTTAAAAGAAAAAGGCTAAAAATATTAATTTAAAGTGTCCTTCTTACAAATAAAATTGACGTGTCTTTCCGATTTTTCATATTTTTAATTGCAAGAAAGATATTAAGGGTGGGAAGTTTTAAAATTGACACACTGTATATTAGTATAGAAGATAATCTACTGTTTCGATTACTAAGTAATAACTAAGTAAATCTAAACAGTGTACTTAAGAATAAAGTTTTTTAATTAATATAAAATATTGTATCGTGCAATTGCCAAGTCATAATTATTAAAGAAATAAAGATAACTAATATTGATACTCACAATTTCTAACAAAATTGTTGAATAGGTGTTAACTAAATAAAATAAACTGACTTGGTTTTACATGAGATCTCATAACTTTTTATATTGGAAGAATTGTGTTGCGCATTTTTTACATACATGTTTTCGATGGGATTCACATTTACCGACAGAGTCTCTGCCGTGTCAAGTCGCGTTGTTTGTTGTTATAGCTGCTATGAACTTGTACTTAGTACTTTTTACTGAATGTATTTATTGTATTTAAGACACGAAAAGATAGAACAGACACAAAAAGCGAATGCAGCAAAATGACATCCTGTCAACTGTTTTTTCAAGTATTTATTTATGTATGTACCCGTCCTTACATATTGATTTTTTTTTGTCTTTTTTCCTGAGTACATCCGTTTAGAGACTCTTGTTACTAACGTTCTAAGAGTGATAATTCTATATGTAACTATATTGTAAATTATTTTTTTTATCAGATATGAAGGAGCCAATTTATGAGTATGACTTTCCGCCACCCTATATCCGGAAAGATGAATGGTTTCCTCTAAGACAGCCCTTCAATTTATATATGGACAAGCACAGAGATTCGAAACAAGTAAACAAAGAGTTTTTAGTCAGAAAACTGAAGAATGTCCATCCATTTAAAGCGACACCACCACCTGTACCATACCCTAATGCTGTGTTCATAGATTCATCAGTTCCATCTTGGTTGAAAACTGAAATTCGGAAGTCTAGAATGAAATGGGGCAGGATAAATGATATCGAATAGACAAAAAAATAAAGTATGTTTATTTAAAAGTTCTTTTTTGTTTCTGTTTTAAAATTCTGCTTTAAAACCAGTGGCGTAGCGTGGGTTAGGGGCGCCTGGGGCGGAGAGTCTCTAGGAGAGAGGTTTGCCGCCCCTACAGAGTCAATCCGCCGCTCTTATAACAATTTTTTGTCGCCCTGCAGGTACTTGGAAGGACGCCGCCGGGGGCGGACCGCCCGCGCCCCCTCCGCCTCCGCCTTGCTACGCCACTGTTTAAAACTAAAGCACAAATTACCTATAACAGATGCGAAAGAAAGCGACTGCATCGGAAACCGCTCGGCAAACCCGACACGCCTATTGAGTGGTGTAAATACACCAGTCGTTTAGTCCGGAAACCTATGCTGTGTCGTATTCGCTTGCTGGAATGACATAGTGCGTGGTTATATGTTTCTTTTTAAAAACGCGTGTAGGATTTTTGTTGAACTTTTGAACTGTTATTTCTAAGTTTTGGTAATTTGTATATCTTATTTAAAATGGGATGCAAATGTGTTTATTTATAAGAAAAAAAAAAGATATTTATAGTATAAAAAATTAATTTATTTAACAAAATTTAATTAAAAATGTGACAAAATAGTTACCTTTCTATTGGTTCTATCGGACTTTTTTCGACTGTATAAATCTTTATTTGTAAACTTTAATACATCAAATATTTTCAATATAATAAATCATTTAATGATGTAAATAACAGGAAATTTCTCACATGGGTGGTCAAATTTTATAGTTTTCATTATATCAAACAGCCTCTGAGAAATGTTTTCAACTCAAAATGCCTTTAATTATGTTTGACTACATCATTAAAAAGGGTCTTCAAATATATCAATGTGATATTTGTCTAAAATTTGCAAAAAATCCGAATCTCTGGATAACTCGAAATTATTTACCCATTTAAAAGCCTTTGATCATGAAAGTGGAAAAATTTGTTCATTTTATTTACAGGCTGGAAAAATTATTTATATTAAATTTTGATGAGTCTTGCACTGAAGAAAACATTCAGAGGCTGTTTGATATAATGAAAACTATAGATTTGACCACCCATGTGAGAAATTTCCTCTTATTTACATCATTAAATTATATATTAGATTGAAAATATTTTATACATTAAAGTTTACAAAAAATAAAGATTTATATAGTCGAAAAAAGTCCGATAGAACCAATAGAAATGTAACTATTTTGTCACATCTTTAATTAAATTTTGTTAAATAAATTAATTTTTTATACTATAAATATCTTTTTTTTTCCTAATCTCCTACGAGCTGATATAATATGACGAGCAATCTATTAAATTACTGTGAGATTATACAGAAAAGTCCACAGACTTCGAGACATAGGAAAATCAAGTCCATTTAGCGTGTGTCCAAATTTTGACAAGTTTTCAAAAATGACAGTTTTGTTTAGACTGACGTTTAATTTCACCTGACTTCTCGGTGAATGATTTCTTTTTATGGGGGTACATAAAATCTAAAATTTACGGCCATGAAGAAATTCAAAACTTGGAGCAGTTAAGGCAGAAAATATTTAATGCCTTTGACACTGTCACCCCTGATATGTTATCCAATGTGAGGAGGGGATTTTATGATCGTTTGGGTTATTGTTTAATGCAAGAGGGAGGCACTTTTGAACAATTTTTGTAATTTTTTAAATTTCATTATCCTGTTTTTTTACCGTTTACCCATTACCTACCTTGACGAACATGGGAAAACGAAGGTCCTTTTCAGGACCACAAATATTTTGATTGAGAAAATTGGTAACTTTTTTTTGGATTAAAAAACAAAAGTTGTTAATATAATACCAATTTAAAAGTGTTTTAGTAGTTTTAATACACACTATGATATAAAATTTATTATTATTATAATGTACATTATTAATACTATTGTTCATTCGAAATGGCATTAAGGCCCAATTGCAACAATGATTTAAATTTTTCTTAAAGATAAGTAGAGCTTAGAATGAGCTGTATTTTACTTACTTTAATATTCACCTTAAATGAGGGAATTTGACTGATACAATTTTTTGAATTTTTGAATTGTTTTTAATGATACTAACAATTTTAGTTCAATTTTTAATAAAATTTATTTAATATTAATAGAAATCCAAGAGATTTGAAACCTCTTTTAGCGATTTATAACATTCTCAAATGAATTACAGGTGCCCTTATTTTCTATGAAAATCACACAGCTTTTTTCATAGTCGCTGCAGTTGCTATAGCTATAAAAAACTATTTTTTTAAGGTGCGAAAATTGCGACACACGCTAAATGGACTTGATTTTTCGTATGTCTCGAAGTCTGTGGACCTTTTTGTATGCCTCGATAACATATTGGTGCAGATTATTTTCACCCATACAAATAATAACCCAAACTATACATTGATGCGGATTGTCTATGAACTCTTTGTCACAGAAACCTGAACGCGTAATTCGGTGTTCTTTCGCATCTGTTATAGGTAATTTGTGCCGTCGGTCCCAGATGAGGATTTATTTTTGATGGTATTAATTGTACTGCGAAGCTCTACTGAAACTACGGGCGAAAAAAAGAAACTGTGTAAGTTTACATTATCATTAGAGAGATATTGTAAAGTGGATCATGAGAAGGACATACGGTATTAGTTAAATTTTTGGCTACATTTACTAAGTAATCGTTAAGGTTCTCAGGTGAGGTAGAGATATTGCTAGACGAAGAAGCTTTGTTTCTCAAACCATTCACAATAGACCAGTAAGTATATACATAAGTAAGTATTCTTTATTTTATGAAGAAAAAATAAAGCCGTATCTGCTGGCGTAACGAATGGATATGTTACTAGTGATTTTATTTTGTGAGGAAAATTATTTATTGGCCTCAAGAGCTTATGCTCAAAGATATCCAAATAGGAATCTTCCTGATAAGCGTTCCTTCGAAAAACTACTTGACCTATTTCCTATTTCTCAGAGTTGGTAGTGTAGATAAAATAAAATCTTTATTCAAAATCTGAGCTAGATAGGTATAGGAAACCCTAATATAGTTTGAAAGAGCATTTGAATCTGCTTCGATTTATTTAAAAAAATACAGGGTGTTGCATTTGAAATAACGAAGTTTTTATGTAAAATAAATATTTAAAATAGACCAGCAACTTTTGATACCCCTGTACACATTAAACAAAGCAATCAAATTTTTCATCAAAGTTTATTTCTCTGGCTTAAGTCAGCACAAGAATTAATTCTGAAAAGCAATGTACAGGGTGTTAATAATCTATTCTATTTGTTAATGCATTTTTAGATATCTTTAAATATCTCAAAAACCAAAGATTTTAAACATGTTTAACTCTTATAATAAATACCTTTTTTTGGGACCAAGAATCCAAATAAAAAAAATTAAATAAAATACAGAGTGCTCCATAAGAAAAAATATAACTTTGGTATGGATCTTAGTTCTCAAACACCCTGTATATTTCAAAATAATTTCAAATTGTGCACATTGCCTTCCCACATATACTCATAAAATATTTTGTTTCTACATCTTTCCGGTTTCGTATAATCAACCGAGGTGAATGAGGTGCGCCACTAGGGAATGCAATCCCGCAAATGCTGGATCCCGCAAATGCGGGATCCCTCTGAGATTCCGCGGGATGAAAGTTGCGGGATTTACCGTGCGGGATCCGCGGGATTTACCGTGCGGGATCCGCGGGATCGAAACATTACTACTGGGTAACCGAATCGATCTCGATTAAGATCAAATCGCTTCGTTCCGGGCCGATGCGTCGACGCTCGGAACCCGGAGGATTCCCCTTACGGCTTGGCCATTAAAAATAAGTGAAACAAAAAGGCTAATTGTTAGATTTCTTTCTGGCGTATGTGCGTAAGTGAAGAAAAGCGTTTAACTAGTACTTGTGGACAATTTCGTCAAATAAATTGCCGGACATAATTATTGGGACAAGCAAAATTTTAGGGTAAATTTAAAGTTGAATATCTCTTGAACTAAAAAAGATTTTGGGATGCGGTTTGGACCAGGTTTTAGATGAATCTATTGTGATTAAGATGCTGATGTGGTTTTCGAAAATATATTTAGCGAATTCTCGTATACAGGGTGTTTTATAAGAGTGTGAAAATTTGATCAAGAATCTTTTTTACTGCAAATTTACAATTTTTAAAAAATCGAAATTTATACCAAGTACGACGAATCTGTATTGAAATTAGAAAAAACAATTTCATCGGTTTTTTATTTTTTTTTGTTTTAAGGAAAATACGACGTTTTTTTCGAAAAATATCCATTTTTAGTCATACGTATGGCCCTAAATGGTACAAAAAACTTTGTACATTCTGCATATGTCAAACAATTATTGATATAGAGTGTATCTACAAGCAGATAACTAACACAAGTTAAAAAAAACTTCAATCAGAATAATATTTTTATTTATCAAATAAGTAGATAAATTATAATAAAATTTAAGTTTATTTAATATTAAAAATATTTTTGAACGCCCTGTATACATCGGTGTCCAAATTTCTGTACAGCTAGTTTAAGATACACGCTATATCAATATATTGTGGGCCTATGCAAAATATACAATGCCTTTTGTACCATTTAGGACCCAAGTATGACTATTGTTTACAGTACCGCAATTTAGCGGATCCGCGGGATTTATTGCTTTAATCCCGCGGGTTTGCGGGATTGATATTTTGGTGCGGGATTGCATTCCCTATGCGCCACCCTGTACTTTTAAAAAATATTTGCTTCAATTTATTTTTTTTTCGATTTTTTTCTCGAGGATTTCGATTTCATGCCGAGATTATACAATAATTATTTTGAATATTATGTACTTTCAGCGATTAAATTTAATAATACAAATATAGCATAAAATTATTTTTAATAATATTTATTAACTGACTTAAAATAAATATACATATAATAAACGTAAAACTTATCAAAACATATATTTTTAGCATTGTTAAAATATATGTTTAATTAAAAAAATATATTTATTTATTGTTAGAAACAAATATACAATGTAATATAAAATACGTTTATAATTGTGAAAGTCTTTAACATGTTAATGTTACATTTAAAAATATCGTAACGCCATTTCAGCGGCAAATTCAAAACTTTCCCAGTTATAAAACATTTTGTGCTGTTATTGTAGATGTGAACACAAACAAACAATATAAATGCAAAGGCACTATACAAGTGATATACGCATATGGTACTGCATAATTAACATGCCAAATATGTATGTATTTGCACTGTCCTGTATTAAACATTATATTTAATCTGTAGAATTGAGAATCATGTCATAATCAGGCCTTCCTGCGCGATAGGACTGGAGGTATTTGATATGAGTATCAGAGTCCATCATACTTCTTTTGACACTAGGTTCTTCAGCCATACGTCTGCTCCACTCCAACTGAAAAAGTGTGTGTATTTTTCAAATATGCAGAAGGAAGTACTACCACAGATTAGGTATCCTATAAGTATACAGATAAAAATCTTGTCCCTAATTTGTGGTAAGAAAATTGTTTTTTTAAGACGATGGGCAAACGAGTCAAATTTCCTGTGCGCAAAAATAAACTCGCGTAAAATAACAATAAACAGCGTAATAGAGAGATATCGCTAAACCGAATAGCGTGCATGGACGTTAATAAGGCCAGGTGTTATTTCCTTTACGTGAGGTGGTATTAACTCTCTTCATTTATAGTTACCGGATCGGAAAGAATTCTGATCGCGTCGCGTCCGCTATTTAAACTTAACCTAACTTTGAATTTAAAACTTTGAAATTGTTTTGTTTCCTAGGTATTTTAAAACTAAAGGGCTAAAGTGCTTATTTCCAGTACTTTATTGTTCAACGTCTGCCAGTGGGTTTAGGGCAACAAGCAACAAATTCTCTTAGAAGGGCTAAGTCGTCATCTGCTGTAAACCTAAGACTCTTTGTAGGTTTTTTAGTATTGGAAGAGGTGGAATCCATATTTTGGGTCATATTTATTTAATTAAAACTAATCCCAGCTACTTAAATATCAAATTACCTAATAAAACTAAAGCAATAATTCAAAACAATTCAAACATAACTTAAAATAAAAGATCTCGCCGGCCGGCTCCGGTTGTCAAATACCCGCACATGCCCATTTAAGCAATTTTTAAACGTTATCAGAGGTTATTTAGAAAGAGCGCTTGGTGTAATTGATCCGCAAATTACGTTAGGCGGTAACGTTATTAGCGGGTGTTGCGTTAAAAATTGACTCGCGCATATCGTAACCATGATAAGGTACGCGTAAATACTGCATGACGCTATTCGGTTTTGCGATATCTCTCTAATAACTGTGCCGGTCAGGCGCTGTGCACAATTTTAGAGGCCATAAGTGGGCGTGCTATGTGCGCGAACTAGTAACCTAACTAGTGCCCGATTCCGAAAATTGGAACCACGAAAAACAATAAAGAAAAAACAAAGATTATAATCTGTGGTACTACTATTACAGTTGTATACTTTATACAGCGCAATTCACGGTCGATGGTGGTTAGACTTTTATGGAGAACTGGTGATTTTTTTAAAAATTTGGGATCACAAAAACGCACCTGTTACATCGACCTAAATTATTATATTAAATTATTATAAAATTTGAGCAACTTTATAAGAATGGGAACTAAACTTTTTTTTACTTCCCTATAGGCCATTCAGTTGGATATTTTAGGCACGTCAAATAAATCGACTATGAGAGAAATACCTGTAGCTGCTTTTCGAAGTAGAGCTCCACATCCACATATACCTGTTAACATGAAAAGATCTTTTGAAAAGAGAATCATTTTATGATTTCATCTAGCGAATTTTTGTCACATAATTATAGGTTTATATCTAGTTTTAATTCTGTAATAATTAAACTATGTTTTAAACGTGTATCTTTTTATTGCCGTTGAGTATTTTACTCTAGATCCTTTAATGTTTGTTCAATTAACAAAAGGTTTATATCACAGCCACCTAGATTTTCCCAAATAATAAAGATCTACTGACGCACAATCATAGAACTTAAAATATCTAAGGGTGCGTTTAGACTTGAGCATGCACGAGCTGAGCGTGAGCGCACGGCATTCGTTCAAATTAAAAACTTATTTTTCGACGAATGAAGTGATCCATTTGTACGCGCACAGCAGAGTTGTATTGGCGAAAATAATGGACGACCAAGAAATAGTCGAGGCTGTAAACCAAGCTGTAATATCTCTGGGACTAAGCGTATTATTGCTTTCTTTTTTCGAATGACGTTAACATTTGTCTATAAAGTTGTATCGCTATCTTAATTTCTATGAAAATGTGACATATCTGGTTTTTCCCGTGCAGTCTTCATTTGTCCACTCCATTTATTGCTGTGAAAACGATTTAGGTATGTCGCCAATATTGAAGTTATTAATGTAAATTTGATATTACATTAAAAAATTTTTTTTTTAATTATCCGCAATTAACTCGAAAAATACTACGATCCGGAAATAAATCGGACATACGCTATAAAGCTCCGCGCGCACTGAATAGGTATCGGCGAGAGCGAGCGGTGAGAGCGGCACGACCGGTCGGAAAGTCGATTGTAGCCGCGCACTGGAGTCGCACGATCGACGGTCGAGAGTACGTCACCAGCATAAATTTGAGCATAGATGAGGAGAAGTTTATTCAAATTTAGTCAAATTCATTTGGCATTTCAAAAAATTATAAAGTATTATTACTATTTATATTTTTATGCAACTTTTTATATTTTATGCTTTATGATGGAAATTGATATTATTTAGATCTTAACCAAACACACATTAATATATTTAGATCTTAACAAACCACATAAAATTAGTGAAATAGAGTGGAAGATGCGGATAAAATATACTACATGACTCTTAGCTTGACCGATTTTAACAAATTTGGTATAACTCAAAAGGGTTTAATTTGTTCTTTAAAAACAAAGCTAGATATGAAAAATAGTTAAATAAAACTTCTATTTTTAGTTTTTTAATCTAAATAAGTGTCATTATAAACATTTATATATAGCTTTTATTTTAAGTTTTTAAAATCTTTGTTTTAAGTCAGTAGTAAATAAAACGAATCTTGTGTTTACATTTTGTTTAATGATTGACGTTTCGACCAATTTTAATTCGGTCTTCTTCAGAATCTATAATATACGTATAAATAATTTTCTACGTTTGTGGTAAGAAACAATTATATATTAAACACATTGTTATTGATAAAATTGTATTGTATATTATAGATTCTAAAGAAGACCGAATTAAAATTAGTCGAAACGTCAATCATTAAACAAAATGTAAACACAAGTTTCGTTTTATTCACTACTGACTTAAAACCAAGATTTTAAAAACTTAAAATATAATAAAAAAGTCAAAGAAAATTAGAAAAAAAAAGAAAAAATATATAGTTTTTATTTTATAGTACCGTATGATCGAAAAGAAACGGCATCAGCGATGGCCATGAAATGAAGGTCGGTGTCATTTTATATGTAAATTCATATGGGAAATGTCATCAATCGTCATTTCCCATCCAACTGGACGCCGTTTTTTATCATACGGTAGATATATGTAGAAATATTTTATTTAAACATAAATATTATTTTCTCGATTTGTACCTTGTACGGAGCGATCAACATAGTAACATTATTTATCAGCTGTTATTACTAACGTCAAAACAAACCAAAAATTAAATAATATGATAAGTTTTGTGACGATATTTAAATTAGATTTCCATAATAATGCGAGATAATCAAAACGAGATGAGAAATAAATGGGTTTAATCTGAAGGTTTTCTAATTCAGTTATTGAATAAGTGTATTAAACAATATGGGTTACGTGCTTGTAAGAATTTTTTTATAAAAAACCGCATATTAAGTATGATATGGTCTCGTACACTTTCGATTAATAATTCATCGGAAATATTTAATGTAAAACCGCTCCACTAAAAACAGTCGCTCGGCGTCGACTATTCGTCCCCCTCCCATGCATTCTCTGATTTCGCCTGATGGCGCCGATAGCTCGAATGACGCCGATAGCTCGAATGGCGCCGATAGCTCGAAGCGCACCGATCTAATGCGGTGCGCGGGCTTTTTTTATTTATTTCAACGAAAACTGAAAATTACGTGTCGCTCGCTTGCGCCGATACCTATTCAGTGCGCGCCCTCCTTAATAGCTACCGGCAGATTTTGGTATACATAGAAATATGATGTAATCATTTGACCGGTCGTCGAGTCAACCGGTCCGAAGCAGTGAGCGGTGTTTCGTCGACCGGTCCGATAATTACGATTATTTCTATGTATACCAAAACCTGTCGATAACTTTTCGTTGAGTCGAGACTGGTCCGAGTTGATTCGGTGCGCGTCTTCCTTTATCCTTAGCTGAAATAATTTTAACACAACCATATCTTACCAGCCTTTTATATTTGTCCTTCTTCAACAAGTTTGCGTTACCAAACAGTTTCAATATTTCTGACCTTTCACACCAAGGCCAAATCATGAGATCCAACATGCCTGGCTTATTACCGCCATAGAAATGGGTACCTCTGTTAGCTAATTCTCTTTCAAAACTAGCTAATCCGTTAGCTACGGCCTCATCCTCGTCCAGATTGACTCTTCCTATACTGGAAAGAATTTTATACATTGCATTGACAACCTAAAAAATATGAATTGATTATAGGCTGTCCAATGAAAGGAGACTTGACAGTGACAGTTGTCAGTCATTTTAATTCATAAGTAAATTATATTTTCTATCACTTTTTGGATGCTGACTGTCGAAATCTTCCTTGACTAATTTGACAGACTTTACCTATCTTTTAACAACATTGGTTGCGATTAATCATGATTATATCTAATCTATCGTTAAATCATGATTATATCTAAAACTATTATTAGGTTGGTATAATCGACACAGCTTTTGAAGAGGAATAAAAAAAATATTCATTATAGATATCTTAGATGTAGTCTGTACAATGATAAAAGAGACGATTTCGACAGACGATATCCAAAAATTCACATAGCTAAACAATTTACCTTTGAATTAAAATGACAGACAAAAACTGCCACTGGGACTAATGTAACAATAAATATTTTCTCTTTTTTTTAAAAAGTAGGTACTCAGCGGTTTCTGGTTAAAAAATTGATACCTGCACGAAACTAACAAAATGGCTTTTAAGTTTGGGCACAGAATATCTAGCTACGCAACAGAAAAATACTCGAAATGAAAGAGCTAAAATTGCACAAATAGAATACTAGATGGCGCGACAATATCATAATCAGAATATAATTAGAAATTTTGAACTTTCGGTTTTGGATCGCCGGCTCGTCGACGGCCTTATAGCTCGGCTAAATATGCACAGTTGCCAGATTCAAAAAGACTTGAATTGGCATCCCATTCTTTTTATTGTGTATAATGCAGTATGTGTTGCTTTCTATTCTTCTTTTCTTGTCAGATACACTTATATTAATTATTCCTTTGGCTATTAAAATAGTTTTAACTATATTATTACAAAACATATACATTTTTACCTTATAATGTTAACTAAGAAAATACCTTTAATTACCTTTAAAATTAATAATATACAGGGCGATTGATAGTGATACGTTAGTAATGAAATATAAGTTTAATAATAATGGAAATAATTTATTAAAATGCAGTACAAAAAATGTTAACTGACTAAAAAATACTATAACAAATTTCTTCCGTTTGCCACGTTATTTATATAGACTTAGGTGGATTTTAAAAAGTGACACAGGTACAATTAATAATATATTAGTTCGGCATAAAAGTTGCTGTCACGACATCGAACAATAAATTAAAATTCGTAAAATAAATTAAAATTATTAATTAAACAAATCTTTATGAAGAAACGCAAGTATACCAAATTTGGGCCCAATCGAACTCCAGGAAATGATATCATAATAGTGTACTATATTATGGTACCACTCGATATGCTTTAAGGTACCATAATATTGCAATGTCACCGAAGATCCGTAGTATACGAAATTTAAGAACAATCGAACGCCATGAAATGGTATCGTAATATGGTACTATATTAAGGTACCACTTTATATACATCATAGTTCAATCATATTACAATGTAACCGAAGATACGTAGTATACCAAGTTTGAGCCCAATCGAACGCCAGGAAATGGTATCGTAATATGGTACTATATTAAGGTACCACTTTATATGCATCATAGTACCATCATATTACAATGCCACCGAAAATACGTAATATCCCAAGTTTAAGCCCAATCGAACGCCATGTACGTAATATAGTACTATATTATGGTACCAGTTGATATGCTTGCAATGTCATCAAAAATACGCAAGTATATATCAAAATATGAGCTCAATCGAACGCCAGGAAATGGTATTGAAATATGGTACTATATTAAGGTACCACTTCATATGCATCATAGTACCATCATATTACAATGTAACCGAAGATACGTTGTATAACAAGTATAACAAGTAACCCAATCGAACGCCAGGAAATGGTATCGTAATATGGTACTATATTATGGTACCTCTTATGCTCCATGGTACCATAATATTACAATATCACCGAAGATACATAGTATCCCAGATTTAAGCCCAATCGAACGCCATGTACATAATATGGTACTATATTATGGTACCAGATGATATGCATCATAGTACCATCATATTACAATGTTACCGAAAATACGTAGTATACCAAGTTTAAGCCCTATTGGCGCCATGTACCTAATATTGCTATGTCATCAAATATGGTACTATAGAAGGTACCACTTTATATGCTCCATGGTACCATGATATTACAATGTCACTGAAGATATAGTATACCAAGTTTAAGCCCAATCGAACGCCATGTATCGTAATATAGTACTATATTATGGCATCACTTGATATGCTTCTGAAAAAAACGGCGTCCAGTTGGCTGGAAAAGGACGATCGATGACAAATTTACATATAAAATGACAGCGATATTCATTTCATAGCTATCGCTAACGCCGTTTTTTCCCAATTATACGATATGAACTTGGTATGAACACAATCGAACGTCAGGAAGTGGTATCATAATAGTAGAACAATACTTATTATATTGTCGCCGAATTACAATGAAAATTCAGGATTCAATTATACAATCAAACGTCAGGAAGTGATTGTAATTTAGCTCATAAGATTTAATTCCAACTAACATGGCAAACTGAAAAAAACAGCTCTGATCTATTTTAATATGTTTAAATGATGTAGCAAATTTGAAGGTAGGCTTTATCAGGAAGTATTACGATATGAATTACACAATGGCAACACTGCACAAAATTCTTTTAAATTTTGTTTGTAGAAAACTGTTTTCTTTTAAATTTATTGCCCTCTATTGTGTAGTAGCGAAACTACCACATCAAAATATCTGATTTGGAGACAGGCTTTTAAAGGCTTTTAAAGCCTGTCTCCTTTTTCTACCTACAATTTTATACATGTAACGAGGCTTCTGTTGCGTAGCTAGATATTCTGTGGTTTGGGGCTCTCTTTTGACTGTTTGTTTGTTCGGGAATTCCAAGAGCCGGGGATTCCAAGAGCTTTTTCGTTACTAATCGACAGCTTGATAGAAATTGGAGACCTGCCGCTTCTTTTGCGTGTTTTTAACGGACACAATTCGAAATAAAAGCTTCAAACGGTAAAATGGCAAAAGCGCTTAGGCGCAAAAAAGTAAAAAACGCTGTGGCCGTGAGTTAATGGTTGTTAATACTTCATGAATGCGTCACATCTCAACCACAATTCAAACCACAACCAAACCAAATCAAACCACAATTTTTAGGAGTGCCAATTTAAAATTTATCCGAAATGATAATGGTCTTAATATCATTACTTAACATTCGCCATGCAATGCCATGTGCAATCCTTGCCCATCTCTTCTAGTGCGAAACTTATTTTTATTTTTTTAGTATGTACTTACACTTACCCGATTGAACTGTTCAATGAGTAACCTGTCTTTGGCTTTTTGCAAAGGATCTTGACTATGCAGATGATGTGCCCTATATTTTTCATCTAAATAATCAACTATAATTAAACTTTCGTAGAGTACGTCGCCATTTTCTAATTCTAGAGCTGGTACTTTTCCAAAAGGACTTTTATCATAGTACCATTCGGGTTTACTATACAAATTTATATTGACAACATCGTAGCTAAAACACAATTAAAACTAATTAAATATTTATACCTATATTATATTATACAGGGTGAGTGTAATAAGTGCAAATATTTTCACGGCTGGTATTTTTTTCACAGTTGAAAGCAAAATCTAATGAATCTACATTTTACAGCTCAATTTTTCCACAGGGCGTTTAAGTTTTTAAGGGTAAAAAGGTAACTTAATAATCCACTTAATGAGTCTACTGTACCGACTTTAATCTGAAAACTGAATTGTTTTGGGTACTTACGCAATTTTCTTAGCATCCAAAACTAATATTACCCTTTGGGAGTAAGGACAAAATCGGTTGCTGTACAGTCGAAGTTTACCTCTCGATGCTGCTGGTTGTCTAGACCCTAAAACAATTATAAAATAAAACTATTTCAGTTACACTAAGGGCTGGCAAAGGTTAGTCATGGGTCGAGATTTCCGTATGTAAGAAGAGTAATATGCGTTTATAATGTACTGAACAAAGAGAGGACAGTAAACACGTTGCCAAACGTATGAAATAAACCGATAAACTGTGCACATCGCTAAGAGACGTGGAAGGGGATATATATAGCAGATTTGTCGCAGTTGACCGGTCGACTCAATCAATACCTCTGTCAGTACTTAAAGTTCTAGGGAAAGGTGTACGTCATGCGTTCAGCTTCACGATTTAATTACGTCTCGTGATACTCAATTTGTTTATTTATTAACGAGTCGTTGTAATTTTCCCTATAGCTTGAATTTTGTGCTAAGCTAAAGTGCAAGCTAGAAACACTTGCATTTTTGGTCAAAATAAGTGGAATTGAGTGGGTCTTCGATAGTGGTCGCGCTATTAGAACTCTGAATTCAAAAATCGATATCTCGAAATCTATTAGAAATAATAGATTGTAGTTTTTTCAAGAACTTTGTTAATATTTTTGCTGTATTTTCTTTGTAGACAGTATGTGAAAATCTGTATCAATAAAAAATTACACGATTGCTGAAAATTGCTATGCTCTAAAAGTAAATGGATGGATTGTTTACAATTTTTGAATGGAAAAAACAAAAACAACCTTTGTAGCATAATTAATACAATATGCGGGAAATATTAGATATAATGCATTAATTTAATATAATAGTAAAACAGGTTTCTGGATCTTAACATTAGGTTTCTTATAAACTAATATATAGATGGCCCTGGTAGTTTCAATTTATAAATTTCGCTTTTTTGCAATAATGGAATTCGGGTGATCGCCATTTTACTTATAACGCTACAAGTGCTAACAGCCTTTGGTTTTGGATTTATTATCAAATATATTAGATTCTTATTATTTTGACGTATGAACCTGGTGTTAGGTAAGAAATTGATTTACAACCCTTAACTGGGTTCCCTATTAATTATAGTTTATGTTAGAATTTTGTTAGAACTTTTATAAACCACCCCTACAACCATCAGCGTGGAAAATAAAAAAAGCTAGTATTTCCTGCAGCAATTTGTTTTATTGACAGTCTTCAGAACCTTACGTTACATCTTGGCGCCCAACTAGCGGGACTGGTCACAACATCCTGGTTTTACATCCAGAAAAACGAACGTGGAAATGGAACAGGACACTCCTGCAGGAAGTGGACCGGCATTCTCAACCCGGTTGCAAAGACGGTTCCAAAACCAGCAGAATACAGTTCCACCGAGACAATCGGAGGACAGCAGGGAGAGAGCAACTTCCAATCCAGTACCTACAACTCCATCTTTACATCAAGGTAGGATACATCCAACTTTTTCGTTTTCTGCACCACTTAGCGGTGTACCAGCATGGGGAATTTGTCAGGGAGGCACCACAAACTATCCGCCCCCACCTTTAGTCAATATGGCAGCTCCTGAACAACGAACTATGTTTTGTAGAGCCGAAGATTTAAGCCACATAATAACAAATGTAGTCCAACAGTTAAATTTAAATAACAGTAATAATAATTTTCAAAATAGCAATATTGTAAAACCAAAGTCTGATTTTCCTATATTTGATGATAGAAGTAATTTACATCCGGTTGATTTTTTAAAACAAATTGAATCTATTTATAGTGCGAAGGAATTCCAGTAGATCAATTTATTTTGAATGGAATGGGTCATTTATATTTTAAAAATAATGCTAGAACTTGGGCAGATGCATTTCTATCAACATTTGTAAATTTTAATGATTTTAAACATCATTTTTTATCACAATTTTGGAATCACAGTCAACAGCTGGAAGTTCGCATAAAGTTAGACTCTAATGTATATAGAGAAAATAGCGGCTTAAGTTTTACAGATCATTTTAATAAATATGTAGCTATGGCAAAACATTTGGAGCCCCCGTACACCGAAAGACAACTTATTCAGATAATTGCTCGACACTTTCCTCCTAGTGTATCTTGCACCTTGGTAGGAACTACAACTTTTCAAGGTGTATTGGAACGCTTGCGCCAAGCAGAATATTATTTTGGTGCAACTAAAAAATTTTGCAGATTTTCTCCTGATGAAAGTTCATCGACAAATAGTCAGACCCCGTATAATAAAAAAATAGTAAATCATACGAATTATACATATAAAAACGCGACAAAAAATGTATCAAATATTCAAACACCTGATACAATCTTAGACGGAGAAAATCCGGAAAACTAAATATGCTATCGCAATCTGGCTCGCCTGTAGATAGCAAAAGTAGAGCCATTCATTTAGAAAATTATCCGGTGGATGATTTGTTGGACGATGGAAATTGTAATTTCGATCATCTCAGTGTATCAAATCGTTCGCCTATTTTAGAATTAAGTTTATATGGATTTTCCTTTCCTGCTCTCGTTGATACAGGTAGTGAAATCTCAGCTATTTCGGAAGATGTATGGAATCGTTTTCCCGAGAATTTAAAAGCAGATATACCATGTTTTCCATGCACAGGTGTAAGAATAACAGGAGCATTTAAAAGTAAACAGAAAAAAATTCAATTACAATCTCTTATAATATTTTCTTGTAATGGCAATCTGTTTAAACAAGAATTTTTTCTGGTTAACGATCTCATATATCCTATTATTTTAGGTATAGATTTCTTAAGAATATATCAAGTTACAATTGATTTAAAGAATAATTTTTTAGCTTGTATGTTGAATGGTAACATTGTTAAACTGCCTGAGAAAAAATATTTTCATGAATACGAGGGGTATGAAAAAATTAACTTAAGGTGTATACCCAAATATGAAGTATTAGCTTGTGCTACTCTTTCGGTGGAAAAAGATACTGATTCAAATAACACTATCAAGCATTTTATTTTAAGTCAAACTGAGCAAGAAATTTTTCAAAATTTATTAGACAAAAATAAGTTTGTTTTTTCTAATGTGCCAGGTTGTGTAAAAAATTACGTACATGAAATTCGAATGATTGATAAAAATCCCTTTTTTATTAAACCATACCCTATACCAGTTGCATATAGAGTGTCGGTAAATGAAACGGTTAAAGAAATGGAGCGTCTCGGTATTATCGAACGGGCCGCTACTTCGTATATCTCCCCCGTAGCTGCAGTAATAAAAAGAGATGGTACGATACGACTGTGTCTAGATGCGCGACGCTTGAATAGTCAAATGGAGAGGGATCATGAGGCGCCGCGACCGATAGAGCAAATTTTGAATACACTTAATTTTGATGGAACTACGAATCGTAAATATTTTTCGCGTTTAGATGCGACGAACGGCTACTGGCAAATACCACTCGCACCGGAGTCAAGGAAATATACCGGTTTTATGATTGACTCTAAAACCTACGTTTTTCGCGTTCTTCCCTTCGGTCTCTCTACTGCGTCATCTTCGTTTGTGCGTATGATTAGTCGAGTATTTGGACCGGAGTTCGATTCATTTTTAATTGCCTATATTGATGACATTTTGATAATATCTAATTCATTTAATGAACATATTAGCCATTTAAAACTTGTTTTTGACCGGTTAAATGAAGTAGGATTAACGCTGAAGCTTAAAAAATGTGCATTTTTTTGTACGGAATTACCCTTTCTGGGATATATTTTAAATAGCGAAGGAATTAAACCGGATCCAACGCGAATAGAGGCAATAACCAGCTATCCGCGTCCTAAAAATATTAAGCAGTTACAGAGATTTTTAGGGATGTGCAATTTTGATAGATCGTTTTGCCAATCTTTTTCGGGTTTTTGTGAACCTTTGTCGAGACTTTTAAGAAAAAAGATAAAATGGGAGTGGAAAGACGAACAAGAACAAGCGTTTAACAAAATAAAGCATGAATTATCTCAAGCTACAATTCTGTATCACCCAAACTTATCATCCGACTGGCATGTTAGTGTTGATGCTAGCGAATACGGACTGGGCGCGCATCTTTTTCAAATTGTTGAAAATCAACAACGCACGGTTGCGTGGGCTAGTCGTTTATTATTGCCGAGAGAGACTCGTTATCATAGTAATGAAAAAGAAGTACTAGCCTGTATTTTTGCTCTTACTCGATGGCGCATTTATCTTTTAGGTCGTCACTTTACGATACATACCGACAATAGAGTTCTGACTTATATAAAATCTTGTCGTCTTCTATCGCCACGAATTTCTAGATGGGCACTTGCGCTGCAAGAATATGATTTTTCCGTCGAGTTTCTTCCAGGAAAGAATAATATAATTGCCGACGCGTTGTCTCGCGATGCCTTTACTATCCCGGAGTCATCTGACTCGAGATGTTTTAAAATATTATCTACTATCAAGTTACCTCTTGATTTTCAGCGCAAACTAAAGTCTTTTTCTAAGCTGCAACGCGAGGATAAAAAATTAGCGGATATTATTTCACAGTTAGAAGTAGATTCGGAATTGCAGAAACGTTTTCTGATCCATGAAGATACGTTATATAAGCGTCAAGCAGCGGACGAACCATGCTTAGTATGTGTCCCTAAACATTTACAGCGGGAATTTGTTGAAGCTTTTCATAGCATGTTGGGTCATTATGGAGTGTACAAGACTTGGTCGGCACTGAGACACGAGGTTTGGTGGCCAAACATGCATTCTACTATAAAGCAGGTACTACGTTGTTGCGACTCTTGTCAAAAATCAAAATCGTCCATCATGCCAAAACCACCGCTTAATCCTGTCATTCCTGAAGGAAAGGGAGATCTCGTCGCGTTAGATTTGTATGGGCCATTACCTAAAAGTCGTGGAGGTGTATCGTATATTCTCGTAGTGTTGGATGTATTTACGAAATACGTTGCTCTTTATTCACTTAAAAAGGCTACTTGTCGTGCAGTTCTTAATAAATTGATTCTAGACTATTTTCCCAAGAACGGGCGCCCTGAACGAATCTTATCAGATCACGGGTCGCAGTTTACCGCTAAACGGTGGCGGGAAACTCTTGAAGCCCTAG